TGGTGTTATCTATGTAATAATTACAATGATTAATTCACTAAACCCCAAACTGCAGGGCATTGAAATCTGAAAAGCAAAATGTTTGCCTAAAATAGCCAAGCTGTGACTATAGTAAGTGACAGATATTTTTCCAAATCTACATTTTGTCATTTGATGGCCAATCAACAGTTAATTTAATAAAACCCACATGGTTATATACTAAAGCATGAATTGTCAGGATTTCAAAGAGAATGTCTAATTTTATATCAGCTTTTTCAGTTCAAATATAATTAGGAATTTAGTTTGGGGTTTGTTCATAGAAGGCACACTGTAGACACTATAACTATTTCATCTAATTGAATTTGTTATAGTGCTTGGAGTCCCTCCATTTCAGCTTAAAACCATTTTTGAGCAGTTTAACATTAAATAAGTGTTCCTGGTCACTCATAGCCCAACTCCTACTGGAGGAGTGGATAAGACAGAGTTTACACACTTCCTTCTAGCCATATCAATTCATACCAGTAATGAATGCTGTGTTCAGCTGACTCTTTTAAACAATGACGGCAATGGGCACCCGTTGCTGCTCAAGCTAAGACTCCTTTATTAGCCCAAGCAGCACAGAGAGGAGTGACTGCTGGAGACTCATTTAGCATTAAAAAACTAAAAATGATTTTATGCTGAATGGAAGGATGTTGTCAAGGGACTCCAGAAACTATAACCACTTCAGTGAGTTGAAGCAGTTGCAGTGGCTACAGTGTCCCTTTAAGCAATTCTTAAAGGACCACTATAGTGCCAGGAAAACATACTCATTTTCCTGGCACTATAGTGCCCTGAGGGTGCCCCCACCCTCAGGGACCCCCTCCCGCCCGGCTCTGGAAGGGGGAAAAGGGGTTAAACTTACCTTTTTCCAGCGCTGGGCGGAGAGCTCTCCTCCTTCTCTCCTCCTCTGTTCCTCCTCCTGGGCTGAATGCGCACGCGCGGCAAGAGCTGCGCGCGCATTCAGCCCGTCGCATAGGAAAGCATTTACAAGGCTTTCCTATGGACGCTTGCGTGCTCTCACTGTGAAAATCACAGTGAGAAGCACGCAAGCGCCTCTAGCGGCTGTCAATGAGACAACCACTAGAGGATTAGGGGGAAGGCTTTACCCATTCATAAACATAGCAGTTTCTCTGAAACTGCTATGTTTATTAAAAAATGGGTTAACCCTAGCTGGACCTGGCACCCAGACCACTTCATTAAGCTGAAGTGGTCTGGGTGCCTAGAGTGGTCCTTTAAATTGAAGACCAGTTTACAAAATGAAGCTCTGCTGTAGTCACACTTTAGCTATTTTAGAAATTCTGTATTCAGTTCACTACAATTCTGCGATTAGTGCATACATCTTTGAATTCCCTACAATTAATGCCTTCGTAAATAACAATGTCACTATTTTCTATTGGTAGAATATAATATTTGGATGCACAGCGAGAGCATAATCCTCAATAGTATGATAAAATTAAAAACTCCAAAAAGTGTTCAAAAACTTTGTCTTGTCGCAAGCTGGAAAAGTGCAAGAGAGTTCTGCTACAACAGAGGGGGAATTCAGCTGTCTACCTATCTAAGCTACCCCTGCAATCTATTATATCAAAACTCAGAGCTATGCTATGCCATCTAAAGTATCAATGCCTATGAGAGCAGAACTAAGCTGTCCCACCACTCGATGTATAACTCACAGAAGCAGAGCTTGGTCACCCCTTCCACCCAATAAATTAAAGGGACATGTATTAATTTGAGATAACTGTCTCATTCAAAAGCTTTAGCTGAAGAAACTCCCCTAGCTGAGAGGCGAGCCCAACAATGTAATCTAACCAAGTTTATAAACATTTATCACATACTTTTAAAAGTTTTTCTTGCTCTAATTTGAATGATTTGTATATTTTGTTCAAAATTGTTTGGTTTAAAAAACTAATTGTAAGTTAGTGCATTTAAGGCTCACAAGAGCAGAATTAAGATGCCTCTGCCACTTAATGTATCACTGTTCACATGATCGGGGTTAAGCCACCCCCGCTACGTAATGTATCCCATGTATTTTCCCCCATATCAGTTATTCCGATGTACCTATTTCCTTCCTCATCTAATTATATTTTTGTCCCATCTCTCTAATCCCCAGGTGCGGGCAAGTGCCATTGCTCAGGATGCCGATCAAAATTACGACTACGCCAGTAACAGTGTAATCCTCCACTTAGACGCAGGGGATGAAGTCTTCATCAAACTGGATGGTGGAAAAGCACACGGAGGAAACAATAACAAATACAGCACCTTCTCTGGATTCATTATCTACTCAGACTGAGGGTTTCTTCACTGCTAATTGCCCATCCAACTGCCACAACACTGCTAAGGACTGAGAAGCATGAGATAGTATTAAGAGACTATCTCACCTTTAAAGCCCCATGTGATCAGCTTAGTATGGTAACCTCATTCCAACACCTATTATGTATCAGTCCCACAAAGCTCAGTGCTGTACGTTCTCCTAACCTTCACGTTACATCTTTCTTCCAAACCTCACTCCTGTAACACTTTGCCAAAGTTAAGTTTTATGGCAAGCCTCACTTTTATATCTTACCATAAAGCCTTACTCCCTTATTCCCGATCTCCATCTTAAATCTTACTCATCACTACAAATATCAATCATCCATCTTTCGTTGACTGTCGGCAAAAAAATGAAGTCTTATCCACAATTCAAATATGGTGGTGGTGGAGCGGGTGGGGTACAAGTGTGTTTAGAATTTTTCTTTTAGAACAATAACCATACAATTGGTCAAACTTGTCTTAATGTGCATTTCCTATCAGCCTATGTGAGAGTACATAAACATATAAGAATATACAAGGGTCAAAACAGTACATGCATTCTCTAAAGTAATTAGACATTAGCAGGTAAAAGTCACTGTGAAAAGAAAATTCAGAGTTTCAATATTAGAACAATTGCCTGCGTTATATTTTTTTTTTTAGTCTTTAGTAAGGCTTATTTTGAAACCTGGCCACATGCCTGGTTCCAAACTCATTTTCCTTAGTTCTATAATGTAAAGCACTGCATAATATGTTGCAGTTATATAGATCTTAAAATTTTATTCCTCAAATAATCAATATATATATAATGTGCATTGTGCGGTGATGCGTGACATATACATTTTCGAGTCATGTTCATTTTCAGGTGATTCAGTGACTTAATAAACACTTATGTGTCACCTGCCCAAAGGTAGGTCATTCCCTCTGATGGCCTTCACTTTAGCATCTCTATGTTCAACCTGACATGAACCTAACTTTCCTTAATAAGACTCATTTTTAAACGCGTCAATTAGGCTGCATAGACTTATAAAGCTTTGTGAGTTTGACATATTCAACATACACATTGGTTCCACTGTCCATCTACAACAGAGTTGGCAAAAAATGGTTGATCCTAAGATGGTGTAGAGCTACAACAGCCATGATACTTTTCCTACCTTTAGAATGGCAAAGTCTCATGGAGGTTGTAGTTCTACAACATCTAAGGATCTACCTTTTTCCCAGCCCTAATAATCACTTTCTCATTATGGGATAGATTCTATTATAAGAGATAAGCAACTGTCCTGTACCTGTCAATGTGAGACCACTATTCAATTGCCAGATGTATGTTTATCTCTTTTGCGATATTATCCAGTATCATGTGTTATGTCCCTCATCATCACTTGGACTTTTCCATCAAGTCATTTCTCCAAGAAATCAGCCAACAAAACCAACCAACTATTACCTCTGTATCTCCATGCACTTGTGTTTCTGTCTCTGTCAATTTAAACTAACCCAAATTGCCACTTCTATCCATTTAATTTGCCACACACTAGATCCTCAATAGACCTTACTCCCTTGTGACAAGTTATTGTGCCAACTAATTGCCCATCTTAGCTTTCTTTATCCCTTCTACCTCACATTCTTTGTCTAGAATTCCCAAATAAATTGTGTAATTGTATATACATATGTGTATATGAGATGTAACCATGTTACTGTAGGACTATACACAGGACAAACTGCCTATATCCCCACGAAAAAATGAAGACTATCCTATAGTCAACAACCCTTTCCACTATATCATAGAATTTTATGTCATTGTTGTGCTTCCACAGGCCACAATGACTTCAGGTCTCTGAATTGTTGACTACTCTGTATGAGGTGTGTGTATTATTTTGTGTACTTACTGGTGCAGTTCCATCAGACGAAACTAAAACCAAGGACAGCTATTAAGTACAATGGCTATACTGGATCACATCCTCTGAATTTACGCTGTGTCCGTGTCTCCTTCTTGAGGACTCTAAGATTTGTCTCATGTGTGCAGTTTTGGTGGAATTTTATTTGTGGGTATTTTTTATTTATTTTTTTGCATTCCTCTCACTAGTGAAGCAACGAGACTAATAACAGAAGATCTGGCCAAGTGTATCCTTCATAGTGGATTCTAAGGACTTTTAGCCAATGGCATGTGAAAGGAACCCCCAAAACGTATTTTCCGTTTAGAAGAAGAGTAACCTGAATTTGATACTTCTTAGCACTCAAGAAGCTAATGTCTCCTGCCCCTGGCAAGAATGATCAACAGCACCTGGAATGCCAGCGGTGGCCTATCTCTGGGGGTCATCTTCTATAAATATATAAGCCATTAATGAAAAATGCATGCCCTCATTGGATTGGATTCTAACACTTGATATTTAATAGGCTTCTTATTTGTTGCAAGCTTAGCCTTCTTGTCCTGTAATGTTTTATTTTGTGGGATATCTGAAGAGCGAATTCTTTGTAAATATACCATCCTTCCCTCAATTGTATAAGAGTGTGCATTTTCTTTCTCGTTTAATTGCTGACGTGGCAATATATACTGAAGGAATGACGCTACTGGGGACTTCTATACTGTTGATTAGTAAGGTCTATAAGACATGCGTTTTTTTACAATTTAATGTGATGAAATTTACAAAAGCAGACAACCCTTTAACCCATTAGACACATTACTGGTACAGGGCTGTCCAGGTCCTACATAAAACCAAACCTTTAATCCATTAAATATATCACTGGCAGAAGGCCAATATGCTTCTGCACTGAACTGACACTTTAACCCAATAAACTTTGCTCCTACTTGTAACTAAAACATTACCCCTTAAACAGGTCACTGGCATTAGGTAATTTTGCTCCTACATGGGAGTGACTCTTTAACGCATTAAATGGGTCACTGGCATAAGGTCACATTGTTCCTACTTTAAGGGACACTTATAAAATAAAATAAACAAATAAATAAAAATCACTTTTCAGTAGGTATACCCAAAATGAAAACATGTTTGCATTTAATTATGCATTTTGTCATTAAAGGTATTTTTAAACACAGCTTTCAAAAGTTGCAGATCTCCTGTCTGCAGCCTTTGCTAGCCCTCCTCTTCTAAACCCGCCCAGACTTTCTGTGACTGTCCAATCACAGGTTTCCCAATGCAGCTCAATGAGAAGTCTTTGCAAGGCAGGTGCCCTGGGCAATTGCTGCCTCTTGAGTTTAGCTACACTGAGGTAATTGAACCAGGAAGTGACTTGACCTGTTGTCTGATTGACCGTTTGGAGGTATACCTCATTAAACCTGCACGTTATGTTAAATCAATTTCATTTACTTGAGCTGAGCCTTTAATCCACTAAACATGTCCCTGGCATAGGTTGCTTTGCTTCCATAGGGAAGCAATGGGGAATTACTGTGCATGTGTTGCAATGTTGTGCTGCCCAACATCTCCTCTTAGAGATGTATTAGCATAATCTATCTCTAGGAGGAGTGTTTGCTGTCTTATCACTGAGCCTGAAGACACTGAATGTTAGACCTGCAAAGATTGCAGGATCGCAATAGGAAATGCCTCTAGTGGCTGTCTGAGTGATAGCCACAAGAGGTGTCCTTACAGCTCAATGTAAATACTGCCTTTTTTGAGAAAAGGCAGTATTTACAATTGAGTTTGCAAGGACAGTTCATCCAAAACACCACATTAAGAGGGGATTGATTGCTGGGGACTCATTTAGGCAGACAGGAGGTGGGTGTTATAGAAGTGTAACACGCACCTCTGTAATGAGATTGTGATGGGGAGTTTCACACAAGTAATGATAGGTTCTCTTTAAATGGCCTGATTGTAATTTTTTTATAGAATATAATTCTCCAGGCCTCCCAACAATCCCAATTTTGTCTGGACAGTCCAGTTTCAGGGTCCTGCCCATTCATTTGTGACTTTGTTTCTTGGTATCCCACCGTTGCGGGAACTGTCCCCAGGAAGCATAACGCAAGCGCAACATTAGGTGCACTTGTGCTATGCCATGAGTATTCGGACCACACAAAGAGCACTGTAATTGTGCCTTGATAACTATCCATTCCCTTGGTGGGCTGGCCTGCTTGATTTGCAGACAGACCGTGTGCATTCACACTAGGCTGACCTACCAATTCTCCCTTTGTGCAGCACCAGTCCTGCAGTTCACGTCACTGACCCTCCCAGCCCACTGGTGTTCCACTTCACTGGACGCCCATATTGGAGGTATGATTCTCCCCAAATGGATTAAATCATCACACACATCACATCGCTTCTACATGGGACATATATCCTTTAACCCTTTAAATGTAACTGGCATTAGACCACTGTGTCCTAACATGGGACAGACCCTTTAACCCAGTGGTTCTCAAACCAGTCCTCGTGGCCCACCAACAGTCCAGGATTTATTTATTTCCCTGGTTTATTCCAATGTAGATAATAACAAAACCTGGACTGTTGGTGGGTCTTGAGGACTGGTTTGAGAAACGCTTCTTTAATCCATTAAAAATGTCACCGCATTAAAGTCACTCTGCTCATACACGGGACTGACAAATTAACATAATAAACATTCTATGGTCACAATGTTACTTTGTTCATGCATGGGACTGACGTTTAACCCGTTATGTTTGTTACTGTTGCTAGTTCACTTATTACCAACATAGGAAACGACCCTTTAATAAATAAAACCTTGGTCATTCATTGACCCTTGAAACTGTCCTTTGTCACTTGTTCCCCTTGGAGATAAGAAGCACCGCCACGTATGTGTTGATGAACTGGAGGCTGTTGTGTGCCAGCTCTTTGTCTGGCAGCAGTGGAGGGTGAGGTCGATGTCTGATTTGAAGAGAATGTGAGGTTTGCCGTTTCGCCGCCAAAGACAGAGGGCTGGAGCGCAGCTGTTTGCAAGGAGACAGTGACGCTCTGGAGAGTGAACGCAGACAGCAGTGAAGCTCTTCAGGGCTCTAGAAAATGTGGAGGGTTAGACTGATCTTGGTCTAACTCAGAGAGACAGCCTGATACATTCAAGACTCGGTCACGAGACTTTAACCCTTTGTTACGTCACCTAGCGGCTAATTCTCCTATTTGTTCATAGTCTCTTTCAAACCGGTTCAGCCACTTCTGCTCAAGTCACTCTTATCGCTCCTATGAACGTGATAAGTACACAATTACATAGAAACAGAAACATAAAATGAGATGGCAGATAAGAACCGTTTTGGCCCATCTAGTCTGCCCAGTTTTATAAATACGCTCATTAGTCCATGGCTTTATATTAAGTCTAGGATAGCCTAATGCCTATCCCACGCATGCTTAAACTCCGTCACTGTGTCAACCTCTACCACTTCAGCTGGAAGGCTATTCTATGTGTCCACTACCCTCTCTGTAAAGTAATAGTTCCTGAAATTATTTTTAAACCTTTGCCCCTCTTAAGACCATTTCCTCTTGTTGTGGTAGTTTTTTTGCTTTTAAATATAGTCTCTGCTTTTCTCTGTAATTATCCCCACTAACTTCGCTATATCAGTCCCTATATATCACATCCCTATATTTCTCCCACTATACTTCCCATAATTATTCTCAGTGACTCTGTTCCGTTAAATCCTGTATAACTCTTCCCTACTGCAATTCCTCATTGCAATTATCCCCAATGACTTTCTTCTATCAATCCCTATATAACTCTCCCTACAGTTCTTCTCGTCGGCTCTCTGCAATTATTCCCATAGAATCTCTTCTATCAATTCTTAGATAACTCTCAATAAAACACTTCTCTGCAGTTACTCCCAGTGACTTTATATAACCATTCCCTATATAACTCTCATCCTTTCTGCTGTCTGAAATTATTCCTAATAACTTTTATCAAGCTATCAATTCTATCAATCTATATAATTCTCTGTACAATTCTTTGCCTGTTCTCTGCGGTTACTCCCAGTGATTATTTATTATCTTTCCCCTATGTAACGCTCCATACAAACACTCATTCTGAGTTTTCTTTAATTACTCTCTGTGACTCTCTTCTTTAAATCCCCATATAAGTTCTTACTATAAATCACCTTGCTTTTTTCTCAGTAATTATTCCCAGCAAATCCTGTCTGCGTCTATGCTCTCTGTAGATATTCCCACTGACATTCCACTATTAATCTCTACATAACCTCTCCCTACATCTACAACTATCGCAGGGTTAAAATCGAAACTTCCAAGAATGGCAAGACTTAGTTCGATTCTCAGCTAGCACGTTTTCGGTTTCCTTAGACTGTCACTTGGAGATTTGTTTCGGACCAAACTGCAATTCTGGCTGAATTTGGGACAATCGGATGAATGGCTGAATTCCCGAACCCAGAGTCAAAATCTACCTGAATCACAAACCAACCAAAATGTCCAACAGCCGAGCATATCTGTTTTGGTTCGTGATTTCAAATTCCGCAAGAGGTACCAAAAAAAGAGATGAATGATGGCTAGCTAGGCAGCATTCACTAAATGTTGATTTTTAATCATAGAGTGAGTAGTAAAAAAAAATAAAAAATAAATAAAAAAAATATATATATATATATACCGTAGTTATATATATACATATACATTTTGCAGCACACTGATTGGCCCATTTTCACACTCTTTTTTTTTCTTCTGATTTGGTTTGTAAATTGGAATCTCGGTTCTGAAATTCTTCGTACTGATATTCAGTCGCACCGACATTCAACCGAAATTCGGGTGCCCGAAAAAAGTTGCATTTTCAGGAAAAATGGTTTGTCCGAGTTAAATTTTCTTGCCGTTCACAAGTCTAGTGCATATTCTGAATTTCAATTGGCTACAGTTTAGACTTTAGTGATTAACGCTTTCACTCTCAGCACTCTGCAATTATTCCCCGCGACTCTCTTGTATCAGTTATTATATAACCTCTCCCTGCAGCTCTGCCTCTAAACTCTGTGTAATATTTACTCTCTACTGTTAATTTTTATATAATCCCTTGTTACAGTTCTCATTCTCTGCTCTCTATTGATTTCCTGTGACTTTACTCTCTTAATCCCTAGCTAATCTCTCTAAAACTCTCATTATATGTTCTTTATAATTATTCTCAGTGACTCTTCTCTATCAATTCCTATATAACATATCCCTGTAATGCCTCCTGCCTATTCTCTGTAATTATCCCCAGAATCAGTGCCACTTGGGGCAAAACCCCACCAGATTAATATTACAAAATTATTTGCGGGGAAATTTTTTTTATTGTAAGTGGCCAGAGGATTTTGTTTTAAATGTATTGTGTACTTTATACTGTGTATATATATATATATATATATATATATATATATATTTATTTATGTTTATTATTAATATTATTTTTTTGAGACAATCTGGCTTTTTAAGATAGTAATGTTTTAAATGTTAGTAAATACCGTGTTACATCTTTATCTTTAAAGGGACACTATAGTCACCAGAACCACTACAGCTTAATGTAGTGGTTCTGGTGTCTATAGCCTTTCCCTGCAGTCCCTACAGCTCATTGAAGTAGTTTTGGTGCACTGTCCTAGTCCCATATAGTCTTGCAATGTAAATCGATGCATTTAAATGACCCTGGATGTCCTCACACTCTGCATGAGGACATCCAGCATCAGTGAAATCCCCATAGGAAAGCATTGACGCTAAACGCTCCCCATTGATTCACTGCATATTTTTTTGCCTCTCTATGAGCAACGCACATGCCAATTGACTCACAATGCTTCCCTCTCTGAAAGCATTGGATTGGCTGAGATCATCAAGATTGATGATCTTAGCCATGAAGGCGGGGCCAGATGTGGCGAGACCAGGCAAGCAAGCGAGAAAATGTAAGTTAAATAACCTTTTCATTCCACAGGGAAGGGTGCCAGGGACCGAAATAGCCATTATAGTGTCAGGAGTACATGATTTGTACTATCTCTCCCTTTCTCTGCAGAACACAGACTGCTTACTGATAACTGATGAGTCACTGGCAGGCAAACAACAGACACCATTGTCTGTGTTACTGAGCATGTCAGGGTCTAGGGTCGTTTGCAGAAAACACCCAGTCTGAGGATAGGCCCTACAGATGCTCAGCTTGCTTATAGAATTGATGTGTGATGTCACCCATTCACGTATCCTAGGGCCCACTGGAATATATGGAGCATGCTCTGTGCCTCTCTACTTCTATCCACAACAGATTTACAGCAGCGGCCAGCTCCCTCCCACTGTATTATCACGTTTTTTTCTGGCTGCACAAAGAATACATTGAACACAAGTATTTTTTGTATAGGTGAAACACGTTATTGTGTTACTTTGTTTTTTTTCTTTCATTTTGTATAATACAATTAATTTATATTTTACTTTTGAACATTCACTGAATATCCTTTTTCCCTGGAGGAGCTGTACTTCGCATTCCTGGGTGGGGGACAAACCGCCTATGCCGTTAAGGATTGAGCAATGCCTATCTGCTCATCCATTGTGAGTATATCTCCTCTTTCATTTTTTATTTTTTTTATTTACACAGAGAGCACTATCTTTGTGTTTTTATAGTCTCTGCATATCACTGGAGCATCATCCTTGATACACCATGGACCAGGACCATTTATAAATCCACAGACGGGGATTTACACCATCCATACGCTGTGATTCGGAGCTGATCAACAGCTCCAAAAAAGTGTGAGTGCGATATTTTACTTTACGTTTTGCCTCCACCTTTTTAAGATATACTACACTATATTCGTATTCCTGTTCCATTCTGTTTTCTTTTATATTTGCTCCATTGGATTCCACAAAAGGATTTAATCTGTAAAGCGCTGCTTCCCTACATTGCCAGTTCTATCTGCATCTACGACCAGAAAGAAGAGATTCTGGTCTGGGAAGGCCTAGCTGCTGCATACTAAGAACAAGCACCAGAAATCTCACTTGCTGTTTGTCATGTGGTGTCAGTCTTTATACTAAATGAATTACTACAACCCAAGAGTGCCTGCCAACCTCTGCCACTACTTAAAAGTTCCTACTTTCATTTGGGAGTTACTAAGGAATGAAGGATTCACACATTCAAGGGGATGTTGCATTGTCCTAAGGCCCTCTTTTTCTACATTCCTGGAAGGTTTTCAATTTGGTAGTGTTGCATAACCTTTAGTTATCTCATTTATAGTTTGTTCTAGCCTTGACATAGCAATGGCCTGTTGCTATCATAAATTAGCTAAATAATTTTTTGTATATATATATATATATATATGTAAGTCATTTTCTTTTCCCACAATCACGTTTATAATGTTGAACGGGAAGTGATGTTGAGTTATAGTTGAAGCACATGAGGTTATATTGGCAATGTGCAACAATTCAGCCTGTAAAATTTCCAAAGAGGTAGTTGTCCATAGCAGAGCTCAGGCCGTTCTCCATAGCAGAGCTCAGGTACTCATGACAAGTATCTCCGCTATTTTCCCTCCTTCTATCTGAAGAGTACAATATTGTGCATATAGCCTGTGGCAGAACCACTGCCTGTTCGTGGATTTCCCTATGTCTTTCCATGTGTTTCCCCTGTACTTTCATGTTTTCTGCCTGCTTCCCGTCCAGGGAAGGGAAGCCATTGCCTCCCGAATGGGGACCACCCCTGGCTGGGTTAGAATGTTCATCCCTCGCAACCTATGTGTCAAACCGCAAACCGCAAGAGAAACAATTCATGAGTGCTTCCCTAGGTGGCCACCATTCGTACAGGTGAACGTCCACCAGGGGGAGCATTCGTGGGCTGTTTCCCGACTCGTTCGTCTCCCGAATGAGGACCTCCCTGATGCCCCATTAGAACACCAATTACTCAGAATGTTCACACTCGCAACATAAGTGTGAAACCTCGAGGGAAGTAATTAATGAGTGCTCCCCTGGGTGGCCACCATTTCGTATAGATGAATGCCGTCCAGGGGGAGCATTCGTATCCTGAAAGGAGACGCTTCCCT